TGTGTGTGTGTGTGTGTGTGTGTGTGTGTGTGTGTGTGTGTGTGTGTATATTTATTTAATTTCAATACATTGTCCGTTCATCCCAACAGGTTGCCCTGGACAACACCAAGAAGACTCTGGGTGCAAACCCGCCACAGATGGAGCCGTATGATGGCGACGCTGAGGTGGATCTGTACACTGATGAGCACGTCAATGGGGGGCAGAGGGAGGCGGTTCTCCATGACGACGAGAGTCCCCACTCTTTGACCTGGGTGAATCAAAGCACCGCGTCGCCCCCCGCAGCCAGAGCACACAGCAACCGAGTGATGTCCCTGTCCTCCTCGACCACCAGAGAGCACGCCTGCGTCTCTAAACTTGACTGCCAGCTGACCAAGTCGTCCTCACCGGAGTCGGACCCTACCAGGAGCTTCTCGGCCGGCAGATGCCCCCGTGGAGAGACGTGGTTCGACAAGGCGGACTCTCAGTGGCACAGCCTGCAGGTAGAAGCAACGGGGCTTTGCAAGAGCGACCTGTGCAGCTGTGACCATATGTCTCACGGTTGTCTTGGATGCTGCGTTGAATGCAAAATCACGCACCACATAAGCTGTGCCTCACTTCAGCATTGCTTCACGGAGAACCACCGCATGGTGTTCTCCGACAGTGCGACCGAAGAGGCGAGCGAATTCAGGGCACTGTCGCTGCAGGGCGGAAGCCTCAGGCTGAGCAATACGAGCGTGTCGCCGACGCTCTCCAGCGGCAGCGCAGCGATGTCCTCCTTAGCCCTGTGCGATGACCCTAAATTGATGATGCTGCCCCTTCATCCGATCGCCTACCACGATTGCTGCGACCTCGCCCAGCTGGACCCCCAGGCCCTGTGCATCAGCTGCGGCGTCTTCCACACTCGTTCCTGCCGAGAGAGAGACTTCTGCCAGAGGCACCACGACATCAGGCTGCTGGGAGTGTGCTCCTGCGGGAGGGAGTGCTCCCGAAAGCCCCTGGTCCTGTGCCGATATTGTGGGAACGAGTATTGCCGCGATTGTTGGTACAGAAATCCCGTCGCGTGTTCCTGCGGCCAAACGTTTGACCAGTCGTCTCCTGTGTGATTTTTTTTTTTTTTTTTTTTTTTTTTTTTTTTTTTTTTTTTTTTTTTAAATTTGGAAAAAAGCATCGTGCTAAATGAGGCACAACTAGCAAAAATCACAGTGCCTTTAATATCTGCGTACTGGAAACAGAATTCTGTTCTTTTTTAAAATAGAGTACAATGAATCGGAAATTCTAATGTTGCCTTGACACGATGCTGAAATGCAGTATTGAGTGTGCTTCGATTTTTCTATTTCAGTTTTCTTTCTGAGACTCGCCATTCAGTTCTTCTACAAGTGGCCATATTTACCATTATCAGCATTTTGAAAATGTCGTGTGTTGTTGAGACTAAGTCGTGGTTAGAGTTTGTGCTTCTGGGTCTCTTTAAATGTAATTTAGTGTGACGCACAGGAATGTCTGTCTTCACCTGTATGTGTTGCCTGCACACACACTGGAGTAAAGAGTGGTCAATAAGCCAGTTGTCTGTTTTTAAATGTTATTTGGTGACAGTGGAGTTGCCATATAAGAATGTACAACTCTGAGAAAAACATTTAATACATCATAACGAATACCAATCAAGCTCTTAACATTAAGGGGAGACAACCCAGTGAATATGGTAAAAATATGTAGATATCACCAGGAAACCTCCACAGTTAATTACTTACATTTAGACAATTGCTTTTTGTATTACAAGTTTTCTGAAATTGTTTGAATATGACAAATGTTGTTAGTAATAAAATGTTCATCAGTCTATGAATGATATGTGAACAAACCCTCTTTAACAACCTTCAGAGTAGAGAGGAATGAGATTTGTGGATCAGAGGGGACATCCCGAGTCTCTTGTGTCATCTCCTCGCTCCTCGCTTGAACCGGACGTTGTTCTGCTCCGCCATATTGACGGCCGTCCCAAAGCTCTTATTTCTGCTCGGAGGGATCCTCTGAGGAGGGATCCTCATTGTTCATCAGTTATGTGATTGGATGCTGCAGCTGATCGGACTGACTGGAGTTTCATACCATCAGATTAAACTCAAGTTTTATATTTGATTAGTTTTCTGATCTGGTTTAAATATGTTCATTGCAGTCTGAACAACAAAAGGACCACAAACAACTTTCTTAATTTCTTAGAAAGATTTGTCTTTTCATGATCTGATATTTCCCTCAATAACTTTCATTATGGAAACAACTTTTTACATCATTTATCATTTCATTCAGTCACGTGAGGCGGATCATTCCTGAGTGTTTGATGAGTTATATAATTAAAATTTAACCTGAAACAATGAGCTAATAAATTAATTCCAGTGTTCAAGAGAAACCATAATCATATTCTGAGTTATTTAATAATGACGTCACAATTTCAATACGTACAGATCCAAATAATTCATCAAGACAAATGCATTCTGCTGGTAGAAATCAGTCGTGCGCTTATAAACGGGACATTTTTTAAAGAGGTAACAGAGGTAACAAATGCAAGGTTGCTGGTTCGATCCTTAGCTGCTACGTGTCCTGTGCCGAAGTGTCCCTGAGCAAGACACAGAACCTCTAACTGCTTCTCAGCAGCCCACTGCTCCCAACATGCTAGGGATGGGATAAATGCCATGTATATGTATTTAATGACAATTATAATAAAGTTTAGTTTTTTAAGTTTGGGGAAATACCTTGCTGACAAAACTGACATAACGTGACATTTTAATAACAACCAAATATTGGACATGTAAAAATGAAAGGAGATTGAAACGTGAAACCATTTCAGAACGGGGTTATCCATTTTATTCACTTGCGTTTGCAATATAATGCAGCTTTTTCACTCAATTTGCAATGACACATACGATTTAATGTCCCATGCATCCAGAGATCTCTGAAAATCAAAGAAAAAGATCCACTTGTGTTTGTCCTGAGTCATGCCCACTCATGTCCCAGACACGTCCCTAGTCCTCTGTCCAAACTTGATCAAGATCGTGTGGATTTTCCCCATTTCCCCCCCATTCTCATGCAAAACCAAGAGAGCGACACGTTTCACAAGTCATTGAGGAAGAAGTGGTAAACGTCCTTTGCCCCTAAGCAGTGTCACAGTCGTATTCACTCATTGGGATGGGGACAGACGTTCAGCATTCACTCTTTATCACGAGCGTATCGGCCTCTTTGTTCATCAGACAGTGATGGAGTTCCAGTTGAACTTGTTCCAACCAGAAACCAAAATGTGTCACTTTCAGCGGGCTGGAAGATCTTTCACATGAAAGATGAAGCGTCGACACAGCGTAGGAGATGGTGTGAACTCGTCAGTTCTTACAGATTCTTATGGAAATGCTTGTGGTCTGACCTGAGGGTCCGCTATTCATTGTGTTCCTGCCAGCTGATGTTAATGAAGGTCTTGCTGTCCATGCGGTCGACGTAGAGGACCCCGTCCAGGTGGTCCATCTCGTGCTGGAGGATCCGAGCTGACCAGCCGCTGGCCCGCCATGTGACGGCTTCCCCCTTCTCGTTCAGACCTGCAGGGTGAACACGCAGAGGGACGAGACCCTGATGCGTTAACAATGATTCCCCATCACAACATGTGGCATAGTATCACTTCTTTTGTACTCTTAAATACAATGTGAAGGCCATTTTTCTAGTTTGGGATCAATCACAAAGACAAATTTGTATTCCATGTGTTTAGTGTTATTATAGCCTGAACAGGATAAATCGGATAAAAACTAATCTTAGATTAAATAAATCCTTGTTGGTGCCACCCGGCCTTATTAGTCTCAGGATTAAGCTATAAACATGCATACCAGACACTTCCACTGACAGGTAGCGTGGAACTGCGGCGGAGAAGCCAGAGATGCTCTCGCAGGCCTCCTGGAAGAGCGCAGTCTGTCCATCGAGGACCGTCAGCAGGGGGTTGACGAAGATCCTCAGCGGCTGGACGGAGAGGCCGAGGATCTCCCTGGACGCGGGCAAACTCTCCTTCAACATCTTCTCGGGATATTCCAGGGCCACAATGCGGAGCGGCACCCCAATCTGAGGCGCGCTCAGTCCCACGCACTCCAGGTTCCGCATCACTTTCACCATAGTGCCGATGACCCTTTGGATCTCAGGGTCGGTTACAACTGCTGGGTCAACGGCAGCCGCGCGCACACGCAGCACCGGGTCCCCCACCTGGCACACGTGGCTGTGCGGAGGACTGGGAGGGGATATGATCTTGCGTTTTAGGTACTGAAGATAGGGGCGCACCTTAATGCTGCTGGAGTATGAGTGACTGCGGGGGACAGGCGGGACGCGAGGGAGACAAGCGGCTCTGAGCCCCGTCCTGGAGAGCTGGAGCAGAAACACACATGATTTTGTGTTCATGGTGGAGCTACAGCTGGGATGATGTGTCACCTGTAAGGACAGGAGGGGGTTGCACAGTGCTGTAGGAGAAACCAGACAAAAGAAGGACATTTAGTTCTCAACTATGTGTTCCAAGACCCGACACCACCATTTAGAGATTTTTGTTTAGGCATGCTCAAAGTTGCCCCAGCGCTTGACTACACTATATGTCCAAAAGTAAGTGGACAGACAAACAATACACCATTGAGGGCTCTGTGAAGCCCACACCAGTTCTCCCACAACAAACTGGGAAAATCAATTCTTTAAAAGGTCCTGGTTTCGTGCACAGGGGGGCATTGTTCTGTTGAAACAGGAGAGGGCCTTCTCCAAACTGTTAACACATTAACACATCCCTTACCCTGAACAGAAGGGCCTGATTCAAACCATGAAAGACAGGCACAAACCGGAAGTATGTTAACATGGGTATCAACACACTTTTGGCCATGTAGTGTACCTCCATCAAGGTGTAGTACATGACTTATGTGCTGTATATTACTATAATTATCGACGAATTTAAAGCTAAAGTGCGTGCAGATGTTATGTAATTTGGCCTGTAAATGTCCCCACTGCGGGACTAATAAAGGATTATCTTATTTTATAACATATTTGAAATTATTCTGATGAAATAAGCTTTTACTTTTATAAAGAAAAAAAAAAGACAATTCCAGTTCCAGTATGTAGTGCTAACGTTACGACTGGGGGCTATCAATATGAAGACGTCATACGTATATTTTAGTCATTTTTATCATATACTGTATCTTTATCGGTTGACACAAATATTAATATGGTTATTAATATGGTTAGTTTCCTCTATTCAACAGAAAACTACTCGACTAACACCGCCGACGGTGTACGCAGGTGCTACGAAACATGAGCGCCCATTCAATAAGTACCACAAGCCACGAAGCTAAGTTGTTAGCATGTTATTGTAGTTATAGATGGAATCGGCTATGCCTGTAGCTAAGCGTAGTTACATTAAAAACGTTGTATAGTTTCGTTACCTCACACGAACGTGTACCCTTCCACGCTAACTGGAAAAGGACCACATATTCAGGGTTGAAGGTGAAAGCTGGGAAAGAGAAGTTAAGTCTCTGTATAACTAATTCCGGGATATGAGACTTCACAATAAATGTCCACACGTTGCATCCGCATAGTTATTTATAGTACAGTTCCTTTACAAAACTTTATTTTGGCTGCCAGAGAGTCTGACACGGAAGTACTTTGTAACGAAACGCTCTGCAGTGCAGACAGGGATGTTCAACAAATCACATCCGCAACTTGCCGGTACATGTCCAGCTTTGTGGGTGATCGCAGCCTCATAAATGGACATTCAAAAAGGCTCAGCGCGCTGCAGGTGCGTTCCCTTTCACAAACCCCACGGAGCTGAGCGTCGGTGAGCATCTGATGGACGGAATAGAGCTGCGGCCGGCCTATACATGTTTACAGAACTTCCCAAAGTTACCGCTGTGGATCATAGAGTACGTCTGGGCTCACAAGATGATGGAATTACAGGAAGGTTGGTGTTATTACGGTTTGTTTGTTTGTTTGTTACATAGTTAAAACAAGTAGGTTACAGTCATTTTTGCGTCATTTAAATGATTGCAAACTGTCGTCAAATTAGAATACTTAACTTGCACATACATACATATACATACATGTATATGCTCATGTATGTACATGCTATATATATATATATATGGATGTGTGTCTATGTTAAGTTAACTTAAATAAACTTGTAGCATTATGAGCAGCTGTATATTTATATATATACAGTATTCAATTCAATTCAATTCAATTTATTTTTGTATAGCCCAAAATCACAAATTAGCCTCAGAGGGCTTTACAATATGTACACATGTGACATCCTCTTGTCCCGGAACTCTCACATCGGAACAGGAACAACTCCCCCAAAAAACCCCTTTAACGGGGAGAAAAGAGGAAGAAACCTTAGGGAGAGCAACAGAGGAGGGATCCCTCTCCCATGATGGACAGAAGTGCAATAGATGTCATGTGTAGAACAGGATAAGTGAATTACAACACATTCAATGTAATTACAGCAGTATATACACAGCAGGTAAAATAAGTATTGAACATGTCACCATTTTTCTCTGTAAATATATTTCTAAAGATGCTATTGACATGAACTTGTACGAAGTATTAAATACATTTCAGTAAGCTTGTTCAATACTTTTTCCCTGTGTCATTCCATTTTATTACACATAACTTAATTTCTGAACTAATTTGTTTGGTTTTCTTTGTATGTATGGAGTACTTGGGTTATTACCGACATCTGGTGAAAAGTTCATGTCAATAGCACCTTTAGAAATATATTTACTGAGAAAAATGGTGACGTGTTCAATACTTATTTTACCTGCTGTGTATATACTATATATATATATATATATATATATACATACACAGAAGTATATAACTTTGGATGTGACTTCCTGCTGGTTCTTCACAGTTGTGGACCCGTCCAATTGGCCGGAGGTGGACTCTCAGCCCTTGAGCCTTGAGGATTCGTGGAGGCTGCGCGTCGCCTCTGCCCAGATCTATTCCATCATTAAGAACAGGGACATGGAGCATTTTGAGAGAGTGATGGACTTTCTGGAAGCCACTTACAGACTCCTACCCAGACTGGTGGCTCCCATCAAACACATGAAGATCATGTTTGGCCTCAAGACCATGGTACGGAGATGAGTGGCGGTAGCATTCATTTATTCAACAAGCGTGTAAAATCACTGTTACTCGCATGTTTCAGCTGCAGCTGATCCATGGCTCAGTTTCATGCTTTACGTTTATCTCCATCCCTCTCTCTCTCTTTTCTCTCTCAATGTCTCTGCTTCCAGGTCATCATGAGGATGCTCAGGGAGGGCCGAGGAATGGTTGATACAGTGTTAAAAACCAGCCAGTTCTTCCCAACTAAACTTCCTCAATATCAAGGTCAATGTGTAAGTGGTTGCTCTGCATATTTTTGAAACAGTTCTCACTCAGTTGACTTTAGTCGTTCGCAGTGATAATTCAGGGCCAACAATTTCACTTAAAGCTGCGCTAACACTGTTTTATAGTAACAATGCAAAATATGACTACTTTGAATGTGAAAGGGGTCCCTTTTAGTGACAAACCCACAGAGAAGCTTCACCTGACTCTGCAGTCCCCCCTCAACTCTACAGAGCATTTTAGCTCATTGTTTTGCTTTCACTGTCCACCATTGTACCACTGTGGTTCAGCTAAAAGGATATTGCACTTACGTTCATCAGGTGGACTCAGACACGACTCTGCATGAACAATAATGCTGAAAAGTCTGCTGCAGCTCTTAACTGCTAGCTGCTAACGTTAGCCATATCAACTTTATGAGGTGATAATGTTTGAGGTTGTTGTAGTAGTACGTTTCATTCATTTGAATCAAATTACTTTTCATGGGCTGGACGAGCATGTCATCTACTGTGTTGTCCAGTTAAGTATGGCAGCAGCACGCCTAATGTTTGTATGAAAAGCTTTACTGATATGACAAAAGTTTTGCGTTCTTTTTTTCTTGCGCAGAGCCAACATGAAATGTTCCTAATGAGGAAGAACCATCTGGAATTCAAGGCTCTGGCACAAGCACTCGCTATGGACAAGGACAAACTGGAAGATTATATTAAGGTTAGTCAACTTCACCACGCTTATATTATAACAGTCAACGTAGCTGAAAGAGGAAAGGAAGTTTAAAGGCTCTCTACAGGGGATTCCCAGCATATCTGTTGCCTCCACACGGCTCTCAACATTACGACGACTGGGCCAGCGGCTAGCAGCTAACATTGCAATCAACAGCTCTGGCAACAGTGCTGACTGAGCTAACAGTGTTTACCTGGGGGGAGGAAACGGAGGGTGGGCGCTAAGTTACACGAGGAAAATGTTTGTGTCCACGAGAGCTTTCCATGCGTTGTGTCGAGCAATTTCATGGAAAATTCACAACTTTAGATCATATTATGTAAAGTGCAAAAAGAAAGTGCGTCTCGCTGATATTTTGATATTTTTGACTCTGCCAACCTCAATGAAGGAGGAACAGCAGCAGCTCTTGGATGTGCGAATAAAGATCTTTGCCTTCTAGATAAACGTGTGATTCCAGGCCAAACATTTGATTGATTGTGCACCGTGATTATAAGAGGACGACGGGTCGGCGTTGTCTCAAGTCATTGCATGCGTGTAGTCTCTCTGTACATAGCACTGGTTTCTGTCTCAGCCCCTAACTTTTCCATCCAGCAGGGCACACTCAAACACAACCAAATGGGACTTAGAAAGACACACGCAAACAAATATTTCACAAAGGGAATATTTAAAAACATGACAATAATAAAAACCACAGGTTCAATTATATTTGTAAACACTGCATAATATAAAATTTAAACAAATGAGATATATCTCTTATCTCAAAATGAAATGCATGCCAACAGACACCAGATATTCAATTTATAAAAACGTTGAAATAAAATACAGTATTTCTTCCTTCTATGTTATCCTCTGTCTGCTTTCACACACATTTTCTTTGGGGACATTTCACACACTAGGTTGTGATCCTTTATAGGGACCGATACACACTGTTTCCACTCAAACACTGACTTACGGTGTGCTGTGGGGACATCTATATGTCCCAGAGTAGATTGATATTTTAATCAAAAGAAAAATTCCTCTGAAGGTTCAAATCAGTCTTTAATATCTCATTAACAATAACCTTTAAGATGCATTACATAAACAATATTTAGCAATTCTGACTCACAATAGATTCCCAGATCCACATTGAACAATGAATACTTCTGCAAACCATACAATATATAGAGCTGTCAGCGTACTCTGAACAGAAGGAGTAAATGCTTTGCATCAATGTTTCCTCTTGTGGCCACTCAGATCTAATGAACTCTGTAAAGTATAAACTGTAAACTTGTTTTGACAACCCGGTCTCACTTCCAACTCGTCGAATACTGAAAAGTAAACGTTTAGGGACATAAAGCGTCGTTACTCACTCGAGTCGTTAGTCTAGGAGTGTCTTAGAACTTCAACCCTTTCACAGTTTTCAGTTTATTAAAGTTAATTGTCTTATTCAGCGTTTAGTTATACTTAGATCCAACTGCTCGTGTTACTCGTGGTGACATGTTATTAAGTGCTTGCTGTCTTTCAGAATCGGATGGAGGAGCAGTATGGTGAACATTATGCCCAGAAAGTAGAGGACAGACTGCTGCACTATCTACAGGAGTTGGAGACCGTGTTGCCAGGAGATACCTACATTGACAAGGTGTGTGCTCTGCTGTACGGCAGCGTGTTTGGTGCCCTCTTTATGGAAGCATCATTTTGGCAGATGAGATCAGGCGACAACCTCCTGTTCTGCTGAGTGAAGCCGATGCGGAAGTGTCTTAAAACTTGTATTCTTCCTCTGGTTGCAAAAAGAAGTCTGATTGTATTAAAGTCTCTATTCACTTAATTTATTACCTAAGTAAACATTGTAAACATGACTTTATGGTCTCAATCTCTAGTTTCAAGTCTTCTTCAATACAGCATGATGTTCATTTAGTACATTATGGTCCATTTAGAGTCAAACAGACCATAAAGCAGAATATGCTTTAGGGCGGGCTTACTGTGATTGACAGGTCGCTGGTGCTACCAGAGCCGTATCCGGCATCTCTACGTCACTCCTCCGCATTCCAAATATGATCACTTCTGTTCATTGGTTGCGAAAAAAACAACATGGCAAAGGATGTAATTCTTTGCTGCGTTTGTTGTGTTGAGGCTTAGCTGGTATTTCAGAGAAATGCTGCAAGTACTGTAAATTTAAAGTTCCTGTCACACTATAGAGAGGTACCCTGGAGAGTTTTCTTGTAGAGTTATGTTTACATTTAGTGCGCTTCTCATTTCTGGGTTTGCACATCCTCAATTCCTTTCCTCGTCTCCTCTCCTCACAAGAGGAGGCTGCATCATCCGTCCATTGTTTTTGTTATAGCCTCCTGCTGTTTTTTATGATCTCTGTCGGATGAGCATAATAGTGTTTGTGTCAATAAGTATGTTCAATAAGACTGTCTGCAAAAGACACACCTATGCATCCTTGCTCATAGCTCCTTCCAGCAGGCCTCCTCCCCTCCTCGAGATTCATTTTAGGAATTGAGACGCGCTTTAAGATTCCGCGCTCAGTTTGATTTCTGGATCACAAGTGGGAGGACCGAGGAGGGAGGAGACGATGAGGCACAATATGGAGAAACGAGAAGAGCAGGTGTTGTTGTTGAGGCCCGCTCACCAAAACATTGCCCACTGATGGTCACCACCGGGTACCTTAGAACATGGGTAGAACACGCAGGACCGTGAAAATTCCAACTCTTGAAGTGCTTCTAATATCATGATGCAAATGTTTCATTGAATGCATTATGTGTGTACTAGATACTGAAGAAAGAAAGCCCCGTGACTGAGGAGGAAAAGCTGCTGCTGGAAGTAATTACCTCAGACTCCGTCAACATAGCGACCACTCTGAAGAAACTGCTGCACTGTGGTAGGAAACACCAATAGCATACCAATGTCAAGCTCACTTCATGTATGGAGCGCAAGAAGACATCTCTTTGCTGTGACTTAGAATTGCACCTTTGGGCATGTTTACTGTTTCTTTTGTTGTAATTAAGACACTCAACTCACAACTAGACCTTGGAGAGGTGGTTACTAAAATAATTTGACTTTTTGATATTGCTACACTGACGTTTCTTTAGGGTGTATTGTGGCAATTTCAAAATGATTACACCCAGGTGGAGTTAATTAGAGAGTGGCCGCAAGCAGTACAACAAACACATCCCAACAGAGGGGGGAGGAGCAGCCTTTCCAGGCACAGTCTACATTGTAGAGGGCTCAAATATGAGGAAAAAACAACAACAATAATAATGCAGAAACAAGATGCACAAAAAAAAAGAGAACGCAGAATGTATCGAAAAACCTCCTTTTTATCCCATTGGGAATGATGGTATGAAGGAAGTGTGTCCAATACGCCTCCCTTTGCAGAAGATTTAATTTGTGCTTGCGGATATCGACAGGAATTTGCCCTCATACCTGCAATAACTTTAAATTAATTTAGAATATGGATTTTGATTGTAAATAAAATCTTACTCCAATTTTCCCATACATAAATTGGCATTATTCGGAGCCAACAGTGAGCCCAAACTGAGTTGCGATGTTGAAGATTGTATTGTTCTCGAAACAAAAAATAATGCTTTGTCGATACTTCGTTGGTTAAAGATAAGACAAGTTCAGCAGAAGGATGTGATTGATCTGTGTTCTATTCGTAATCATCTTATCTTAAGTCATGGGTGGCTCTTCAATAGTCAGAACCATAGCTTGATATGCTCGTACTGGCTAATTTAGCCTGGAGTCTCTAGCATTTAGCAGTGATGAGCAGCGGCCTCCGAAGGTCTGGTAAGAAGAACATTGTAGTCTTCAGCCCCAATTGATGTTGACTCACTAGACAGACAGCTTTTTCATATATGCAGAGTTCCTCTTCAACATAGTGCACAATGAGATCTAATTGTGCTCATACCATGTGTCTCCTTATGTTACAATCTGTTTATATTTAGCCAATAATGCATTTCTTCCCCTGATTTGTTAATCAAAATGCACTGCCTCTCTTTTAGATGTTGCTTCCTGTCGTCTGGGCAGCATTTCTCAGTCATCAGCACATAGAAAGAATGGATTGGAGAGCTCTCAACTCTCAAAGTCTGTTCTGTGTCGCAGCTCTTCAGAGGCTGTCCTCAAGTCAAAGGAAGCCAAGACTCCCCTACAGTTTCAGCCAGAGGTTTTTCGGGGAGGACAGGAGGCTGACCAATATGTGCCAAAAGACGAACTTCTGTTGTTGGAGAATGTTTCAGATGTTAGCAGACATCTACCGACAGAGGAGGATGGTGAGGTAGTCAGGAGGTCGGAGGAAGACGGCAGTGACGAGGAAAAGGAGGAACTCAGTCCGAGAAGCAGTGAAGATGTTCAGGAGGCCCCTTCTTCCCCTCAGTTCTGCTCCAAACACCAACGATGGGTGACGAGCATCCTGCAGGAGTGTCCCGATGAGTGCTCGGAAGAGCTGCTTCAGGCCAATGTTTCTTCGTCACCCCCGCTGTTCCAGTCGTCCTCATCCGCCACTTCATCGCAGGACCTCACGCCCTCTGACATCGTCCCGTGCCCCCCTGACCAACAACATCCACCTTCGCAGACCTCCACCCATCTTCAGACAGCAGTCCAGGCATCTGACCAAACAAACACCAAAGATGAACAGAGGTCCAGGTCACCTGGATCAGCAAGTGATGCGTCTCAAACAGAACTTCTGCTGTCATCCAGAGACACTCGGCTACCCATCCTGTTGTCCCCGGTGGTCCGACTGATAGACATTGTCTCTGTCGGAAGAATCTACCCTGTCTTTAAACCCTGTCAAGCGCCTCTAAATCGCTTCACCGTGTCTAGTAACAAACAGACAGCATCCGCTCTTAGTCCTCAGGTGCTAACCTCACCACACCGCCATACCCTAGGGAACAACGGCATACCCCTAGGAACAATGATAGACACTACGATCGACCAACCAGATACTGTGGCAACAACTCCCCCGAACACAATGTGCAAAGTGAAAACAGTTCCTTTATCTCAGGATAGCTCTACCAGCTGTCAACCACCAACTCGACAGTCTTTTTTCAAACTTTCAAGAAAGTTCAGACGGGCTTGTACTACCACCAGACATTCTCAGGCACTAGACGGATTCAGTCAAAACCCTTTACCTGAGCAGTTCCTAGAGGCCCCTACTACCTTTTGGACAAGTTGTCCTGCCTTACCCAACTTCAATGTCTCTGGGCCTCCTATAGAGGATACTTCTAACTCTACTCCTCAATTAGAGATTCTGTCCTCAGTCTGTGCTGCTAACCACATGTCTTTATCTACTGAATCCTCTAGACAATTTGTCCCTCAGAGCTCCGTCAAACCTCTTCGTCGTACATACAACATCAGTCTTTTTGAATCAAAGACTAGGGGGCATGGTAGGCGATGCTCCACTGCTGTCTCCCCTGCCTCCAACTCTGATTGCCTGGCTGTCAGTTCTGAGACCTGCAAAATCCGAAGAGCCCAGCTGAAGTTGTCATTGCCTAGTCAGGCTTTGCTTCTGCAGTCCAAGCTGCTACAGCCCTACGTAAGTCTTAACAGACTGAGTGCTCAGGAGTGCTATAGAGTGACAAAGCAGAGATCCTCCATCAGTTGTGTAGAGGCTGTGGCACAAGCCAGCAATGATGAGAAGGATGAGGAGGAAGAAGATCAAGATTCTTCTTTTGATGTGAACACTCTTTACTCCAGTGATTCTTCAAGTAGTGACAGTGAGGACTCGTTTCATTGTGACCCTGAGTACAAACCTCGCTTTAAAAAGAAAAGACTTCTCTCAGAGTAGCATGGGAACCCTGCATAGGGGCTTGTCTGATGGTGTGACAACACTTTGGCTGCCTCGGACACTTGCGGGTAAATCAAGGCTGCACTAATAAATATTTTGATATGAACAATGGGTCAAATAAAGAATGGGAATATATACTTTGTTAATCCCTCATGAGGAAGTTAAAATGGTTATAATAAATACTTGTATGTCATGACTAAATAAAGCTGTTACATGACCATGTGAATTTCAAAGTGTGAATTTCAAGTGTTGCTACTGGAAAGCACACATTTGGAAAGATTTTTGATAGGCATTACCCTTGCATCTGCTCTCAATTAGTATTGTAGAATTTCTAGCATTTCTCTCTTGAAGTTGTGGTTGTGTTGTGCAACCACAGAAAATGGTTTCTCGGTGATTTGTTGACAAATCAATGAAAAATCCAAATGAATAACAGCGGGGTTCCCAACAGAGTCTTGTTATGTTTTTTTGTTGGTCGGTCCAGCAACACTTTGATGCATACTAATAATATCTCTACTGTTAAATGGATTGCCATTAAATGTTAGGAAGGCTTTCATGTAACGTAATGATAATCCTCGCGCCAACAGCAGATGAAAGTTTTCACTTTAACAATTAAGTGAAATATCTCGACATCTACTAGATGGACTGGCACACCATTTCGCATAATTCCAAGACGATATATCCTAATGACTTTGGTTATCCTGTGACTTTTCCTTTAGCACCACAAGGTTGAGGTTTTAAGAACAATGTCTCCAAGTCAGAGGTCTTCAACAGGGGGTCCGCGGCCCCTAGGGGGTCCGTGGAGGTACTGCAGGGGGTCCGCGAAATAAAAAAAAAAAAAAAAATTCTCTAAACATGAATCTGTCCATTATTTTAATAGTTCAGTATTGTATGAAAGATAACAGGTATGTTTATGCATTGCAGTGGCACTAATAGGCCATCACTCATTTTCGTTTCCACATTTATGTTTAAAATGAAAACATCAATTTGAATATCTTGTATGCATGATTATCATGCAATTGACAATGTTGATATTGGCATTGGTATCAGCTGACAAGGTATGTTTCTAAATGGCAGTGGCACGGCCACCCTACTCACTATACCTTGCACATGTTTAAAATAAAAACATGAATATATGAACCTGTGTATTATTTGAATAGCTTAGTATTCAATGCACAATAAAGAGGTATACACGGTACTAGGCCCATTTAATATAAAACACAATTTTATACAATATATATAGTCGGGGGTCCCTGCTCCATCTCTCTATCAGTTTGGGTGTCCTTGGCCTGAAAAGCGTTGAAGACCCCTGTTCTAAGTATCAGATGAACTGCCATGTAATATGATACGGCCATTTATTCGGCTGCATTCAGGCAGACTTGAGTTTGTTTGACCAATACTTTGGTTAATGACGAGCAAAACTACTGAGATGCCCATCAGCCTTGACTGTACGTATTCAATTCTAATCAGCAAGCATGTAAACACGCTAAGCTAACATGGTTAACACTAAATATCTGTGTGTTAGCATTGCCATTAGCAATGGCATTGTCTGCTAGCAGTCAGGGAGGTGACAAGGAGGCACCTTCACACTATCCAAAGTCAATGGAGTGCGATTAATTGTTTTCCCCTGTGGCGTGGACATAAATGGGCCCCATGTCTATAGTGCTGTAGAGATCAATATTCTTTGAAAGGTCTAGTGTGTAGGAATTGGGCGACATCTAGCGGCGAGGTTGAAGATTGCAACCAATTGACTTACGAATGAACTACGATGGCCGACGTGAAAACGTGAATGGCTCTATCTAGAGTCAGTGTTTGGTTTGTCCGCTTCGGGTAAACATTATTATTATGACTCACAGTACTTTATTATTACTCACATTCAGTGGCGGGCCGTGCATTTTATACCTGGGCCTTCACTGCTGTCCTGCAGCTGAAACACAGCTACGGTTATTATTTGTTTTGTGTAAAAATGAAGCCAAAACCTATAGATCCACTAACTGCAGAGAATACGTCGAGAGTGCGTCTCCTCTCTGCTCTGACTGCAGCTGGGACTGCTGCACGAGGCTTCTGTGAGAGTAGCCGCCTGTGAGTGCTTTGGGGCGGCGGAGGGGCTCACGGCAGCACCCGCTGCTCGTTCACGACAGTGCAGAATGTACGTGCTTTCAAGTCAGAGTCAAAACACCAGAAAAGTCTCCAATAACACCAGAACAAGTCGCTAGATTTGTCACTAGTAGCTTTTGACAAAAAAAGTCGCCATGAGAGTTTGGAAAGTCGCCAGATTTAGCGAGAAAGTCGCCAAGTTGGCAACACCAGCTAAATAGGTCCCCAGAGCAACATTGGACGTAGCAATGGTTCCTATCACATATAAAACCAAACAAGAATCCATCTTCATAAAAACAAGTTATACAAATAATAATATGTAAACAAGCATATTAAAGCTACTGCAGATGTAAAAACAAACGCATTTAACTTACCAGAGCTGCTGTTCACTATTTAAAGACAAAGTGCATCCTCCTTTCTTTGTTAACAAAGAGTTTAATCTCACGGTTGTTCAGTACATCCGTGCGTTTTAGTTCCAGTAAGAAGTCCTTCTCGATTCATGGACGCCAGTGAAGACAGTCGAGCCTCCTCAGTTGTATTTCTTGAATACGTTTTAATGCGTTTGAGGGCTGAAAATGTCTGCTCAACAGAGGCAGCAGATATTGGTATTGTCACCGCCCAACATGTCACACTAGCCCACTGACCAATCACATATGGCTAGGCCAGCTAGAAGGCTCTGGCACGTCAAAGAATACGCCCAACATGTCAAACTAAAGATCTGATTGGTTGAACACTATGACAATCAACAATATCGTCCCCATTCACTTAAACTGCACAGACATCATGCATGCACATGTACTCCATCAAACCACCGATCCACAAAATTATGCTACGTAGTTAATCTCCATTAATCTAGCACGTGCAAGGGGTTGGCAGAGCAATACCGTGCTAGTTAAAGGGCAAGGTGCAAAGTACTAAGGGGTATACTGTGTGGGTATTGATTTATTATATAACTCCCTATTAAAAGGAAAATCCACTCAAAAAGCAGAATGTATCTGTTGACATTCACAGTATTTTAGTCAATAAAACAAATATGTCAACATGCTCAACAAGATGGAAATCACTGCATCGTGCTTGGATTGATGATGTCATCATATTATTAGTGATTGACTCCAACAGTCAGAATTCATCAGGAAATGCCTCTGATTAACAAATTAAATCTGTGCTGTGTCAGAAAACATTGAATAATTATATTTTAAGGTGGATTTGTTTGAGTTGAAGGCTTGCATCAGTTTATTTATGTATTTTCAGGTGTGTGTACTAGCTGTGACTGTTTACTGGGTTTCTCCTTGTGTCAGTATTGTGTCATGAGGCTAAAGAGCAACAACCGATGAAGTAACACTGCATCATTTTTTCTTTGTTTTCAAAGCCGTTTTGTATAGCAAATGGTTTTAAAGGACATTTGTGGATGAGACATCACATCACCCCAATCACTGGCTCCCTCTACGTTTTAAAATTGATTTAAAAATGTTACTGATCACTTTTACGTATGGGTCTGGCCCCAACATATATAGAGGAAATGTTGACCCCCTATGAGCCAGCTCGCAACCTAAGATCCTGGGGTTGGGCCCTTCTGGCTGTTCCAAAGTCAAGGCTGAAAACTAAAGGTGACCGTGCCTTTGCCACCAGGGCCCCTCGGCTTTGGAACGAGCTGCCTGAGGAGATAAGGCTCACAGAATCAGTAATCTATTTTAAATCACTTCTTAAAACACATTTTTACAGACTGACTTTTATGTGATGTCGTCGCTTTCCTGTTCTAATTCTGTTTTCTATTTTTATTTTTTATTTTACTAAATTATTTTACTAAATGCACTCGATTGTTCGGCCCCTATTGTGGGTTGGGTTTGTTGGCGAGATTTGCAGGTTTCGGCTGTTTTCGATGAACGGCTCGGACGGGAGCAGGTTGAGTGGCTGGGCACGGTTGGTGTTGCAGGTGGTTTCTGCAGGTTTGCGGTGTTCATTGGTGGTGGCAATCTCACAAGTGTTACATTTATTATAACATCATTATTAAAATAGAACTTGTAGTTGCAGAAATACACTCTTTTTAGTATGGGTATGCAATTTTCGAGCAGAGGCCTAAAAATAGGGCTAGGGTTAAAAAGGCTCCAGAATCACAGTCATCAAAAAGCACCATTAATCGCCTTGTGCTATTCCTTACATTTTTAATCTGTGACACTTTAGCATAACTGCGAGTTGCAAGTAATTCTAGAACGCAATACTTAAGGCAAAGCTGTGACTATTTTTGCTGAGTGCATGTTAAAGGCCCCAACATGCTAATTTATGAAACCCAGTAGTCTCCTCTTGAGTGCTAGACAATGACTTTGCAGTTTTGGAGGGAAGGTGTGGTCAAACTTAAGGGTCAGACAAGCAGCCAAAACATCTTTTTTGTTTGCTCATTTTCTTTTTAGGAAATACCAGTTGGATGTTTGATATGTTTTATATTTATTGCTGAGGTGTAAATGACAATGAAAGGGTCCACAAAAAGGTGAAATCCCTGTTTAAGAATGGATCCATATCAAAGGATGATTCTGGTGGTAATTCATATTTTTATTACTTTTATCAAATCCCATTAAAACCACTGATTATTTTTTTCCTTTTAAAATACATTTTGACAGTAGTGTAGACACAATATAAGGTATGCTCTTGTGCCGTAGAACTGTATTGTGGGATAAATTAATTGTTTATCAATAATGATAAAAAAATTAATGTTTTTTTTGGTCATAATTCATGCAAAAGTAGCCTACAACATTACCTATTATTGCTCTTTTAAAAAAAAATGTACCACTTTTCCATGTTCTTACTCTCAGAGGACCTACCTTCACTAGCACTATTTCACTCAAAGGGACTGTAATATGAACTACTAAAAAACAGCTGGCCAGACTTTATGTAAGGAGTAGTTTTCCACAGATTTTGTTTAAGCTGAAACGCTTTTCTATTCGCCTCCAGAGCCAGCAAGTTAGGCTGCTCATTGTACTCACTGCAAACAGTAGGTCGTTGAACTGAAGGAAACGCAACGAAAGGTGCTCTCAGTGGCATAACAACACATGCTGCAGCAATGTGTTTTGTCGGAAAAAAAAACCTGTCTGTCTGACGTATTGATTACAACGCAACGTGCCCGGTCAGTCTAGGGGCTCACATCCATGTTATTGTTGACTCAGGTATTAGCCTTAGTATGTCATACCCATCATGAATAAGTAATGTTTTGTTTTGGCAGCACCAATAACTTACAGTTACCTTGACATTAGCCTACTTGTGGGGTTGTTTGAGTCTAATTTTATAAAAAATATGTAATTTTCTCATTATAGTTCTGCTGAAAGCAGCAACAATCAGTATTTTATAAGTATGAATAATGGATCATATTGTATGTGAAATAAGTCGGCTGTAGTGAAGAATCCAAAGAGGATTATCACTCTGCATGTTGTCGTTTCCCTTTATAATACATATATTACCAAATATTAACTGTGCATGGACAAAGATACATTCCCTATTTGAATAATTAGGAATGCAGCGATATTGCACTTTGCGCCGTCTCTGTTTTGATGCCAATGCGTATGACGCACTCCAGCGGAGGTGTCTTCTCGCCTGCGTGGAACTCGTCCCCACTGGTCCCCTGCCTCCCCTTCCTCCCTACTGATAATGGGTGGTGGGGATGGTTCTTGTTAGTCATGTAAGAGGGGTGTAACGGCACAGCCCTGGGTCTCCACCAATGGAAATATGGGCTGGGCTCAACACCCATGTTCGGGGATCTTGATATATAACCACCGTAAAACATCCCCAAAGGCTATTGTTTATCATCCCGCACCCGCTGCTGCTTTTTTGGAAAACTTTCTGTTGAATATCTATTCAGGTAAGTACAGATATGATTTTTTAATATATTACCTTTTTAGTGAATGGTCTGATAATAAACAAATGAACTATGAATTGATTTGCTTAATGTTTCGTTAATGTTTTGGGGAAGTACACCGTTGTAAATTGATCTTTCAAAGTTTATTTTTGCAACAGTAATGATTCGTTATTTATGTATTCATCCCGTCTCTGTCGGTTCTATGGAGAGGTATAACAAACAGCTAGAACAGAGTGACTTTTGGATGATTGAAAAGTAACAGAATTAAGAGAGAGATTATAATCTTTGAATATGCAGAATCAGGTGCGATCAACAGTATATCATCTTTTATCACAATTTTGATGTTTTAAAATATACTGGTACAAGAAAAGTTCAACATTCCAAATTGAATAACAGTACATTATTAGGGACAAAATGTACCTAAATTATCAAGTAGTCATCATGCCGAATGACCCCTTTCAAATGATTACATATTGTAATGGCTTGATTAACATGTAAAGAGCATGTTAAAGGTGTAGCAGGCTGAAGGGGAGATCATTTTGAATATTGAATATAGTGTTGGGCAGTTTCATCTATAAAAATATATTTTATAAAATGGTATCATGTAAGTCAAATAATGTACTAGTAACCATATCAATCAGATAATTGTAAAAAAAAAAGTACGATATTCCTCCTCGAACTGTAGTGCAGAAATATATATGGAATACTTGAATTAAGTACATCAAGAGTATTTAATTACAGTTTTGAGTGTTTTGATGCTCTAATTGTTCATCATCTTCATCATTGCAGGATGGATAAAAAGTCTTATTTGGTTCAGATGAATGGGAATGGGGTACACGGCACCATCAACGGCAAAGGCCTGAATGGGGCCGGAGTCAATGGGAAGGGAGTGCACGGGAACGCCGTCCGCCACGTCAGTGTGAATGGCAGCTTGTATCCGACCAAAGCCAAAAGCCGCAGGCAGATATGGGAAGTGAAGCCCTCCAAAATGGCCAACAACACGTTGAATCCCATTAGGGCCATTGTGGATGGGATGGAACTCACTCCGAACCCGGATAAACCCATGATCTCGCTTTCCATAGGTGAGAGGGTTTCTGCATGACTAAATCTGTATTTTAAACACCTCTGGAGATGCAGCTTTGTTGCTTACATGTAATGCAAATATTCTATTTCTAATAATCCAATAATGTGTAACTATAATCAATAAAGAATGACTACCCCGTTAGAGTTCCAATTACTTTCTAATATTTGAAACAAACCAGGCCAATCACCTATATGATATGATACTACCAATAAATACATATGCAATGGCATACTGTCCATTAACTGTCGTCCACAACAGCTCTACTAGCTTTAAAAAAAATCTAGTACAGATACAGTATATGGTTTCTTACACATGTACAGTATGTGTCCCATATTCCTCGACTTGTATTCTTTTCATGTGTAGAGTGACGCAGACCTTTGAGCATCGTTTGTTGCTTGATTTTTCTGTTGACTGATTGCCTCCCATCTGTTCCCCAGGGGATCCCACTGTGTTTGGAAACCTGCCTACCCATAATGCAGTGCTGCAGGCCATGAAAGATGCCATAGACACCCAAAAATACAACGGCTACGCTCCTTCTGTTGGTGAGTTTCACTTACCAGCAAAAAAAAATCCCAAAGCAAGCATCTTTAAATGCACGGAAGTAAAGAAATGTGAATTCACGTTAGCTTCAAAAGCAGTAAAACAGATGCATACGGGTGAGATGTGGTGGTTTTTCAGCTACATTGGGTACATGGATAGATTACTGAATAAGCCCAGGGCCCCAAAGTGTCAGGGGTCCCCCTTCACCTACAAAATGTCACTCAAAGAGACATGACTACAAATAGATACAAGACAAATACAAAGAGACATACAATGACTACAAAGAGATACAAGACAACTACAAAGAGACGCTGAACTACTATAAAGTCTGTGTTCCTAAGTTAGGAGTTGTGGTGAGACCTTTAGCATGTCAGAACCCAGGAAAGCCCCTCATTGCCTCGCCATATGCCCTTTAACTTGTATTGTGAAATTTAGTAACCAGAAATTATCTGATGTCAGTGAATCACATGCGCATGTTTACCAACCCCCAACAGTCAGTGAAGGGAGCACATGTAGTGGCGATTAAACGATTAAGCCTTTGCATTAATGTATCTCTATTTGCATTCGCCGCATGTTTTCTCTGTGTCCACCGGCAGGTTACCTGAAGAGCCGACAGGCAGTGGCCAACTTCTACAGCTGCCCTGAGGCCCCACTGGAGGCAGAGGTGCTTACTCCTCAAACACCTCAAACCTTTGCTAACACATTTATTCTTTCATGCCCTTTCATCCTCATTCACCTGCAGTGCTACCTTTTAAATCTGAATCACAGTATAGGACAACTTAGGTGCATTGTGTGTGAATGAAAAGGAAATTTTAGCAGCACAATGTAATAAACACAGCACTTGCAATATTATGCTCATAATGAATAGAATCAGATTGTAATACGTGACACTGTATGTCTTGGAAGTTAATCTACATGCTACAGTGAATTTATTGGGTGTTGTTGTTTGCATGGATATATGGTTTTGGAGTCTATGCTCTCAAAAAATCAAATGTACCACGTTCTCTTCCAGGATGTGATTTTGACTAGCGGCTGCAGTCAAGCCATTGACCTGGCTATCAGTGTCCTGTGTAACCCAGGGGACAACATCCTGGTCCCATGCCCAGGCTTCTCCTTATATAAGACTTTGGCTGTCTCCATGGGCATCGAGGTCAAACTCTATAACCTGCTGGTAAGTAGGAGTGGGGTCCCATCCCTACCCCCACCCCTAAACATTGTTGTGGAATATTTCTTATGACTAGTCGGGAGAAGAAAGTGAAGGTTTTCTATCAATATAAAGTAAACAGAGTTTTGTTGAACGATCAAGGTTTGTAAAGTCAATTTATTTGCTTGCAAGCAAAGAGAACAGTCTCACAGACACATTGCAGTGATCTGTAAGAGTGGTCTACCTAACAGTCACAATGCATGGACATTTATGCTCAGACAGCTTCCTGTTATCTGCTTAGCTAACAAGAATACACAAAGAACACAATAAAAGGCAGGTCATCCTTCAAGCCTTAGTATACTTCATTTAAGACAGTCAGGAAGATGCTTTATCTCCTATTTGCAAATCCCTTTGTTCACAGTTTGCCTTACAATAAACCGTTTAAAACTCACAGCAGATGCTTCCTTTGAAGCCACTGTGACATTGTTAAAATGACCATTGCAGAGACAGAATAGACATTCTTTACCCTCACACATCATATATGCATGCAAAGGTTTACGCCTTTACAACTTCAGATAATGCGTCACAAAGGAAGTCAAAAGTATTTCAAACAGAGGATCTCTGTTAGTCAAGGCCTCTCTGTGTCTCTGTCTTACGAAGAAGAAAGAAACAGTGCACAATGATAACAGATAACAAGACACCTGGATACTAAACTAATTAAAGTCATCTACTGAAACTACAGTTTGGTGTCTGCTCTTTTAGGACTTACATTCTTTAAACCTTCACATGACACTATGACATATTTTCCCATTACAACATTGACACTTACTCTACCTATACCTTTCAATTTGCAAGGTAACATTTGTTTATTTTAGTTTGTAGTATCACAACTTCAGCTGTTAGGGCCAATGATAATTGAGAAGCCATATCATTGGATTCTTTTCGTGCCATTCATGTGTGTGGGGAATAAGCCAGAAAAGAACAAATGGATTTTTTTCTTATTCAAGAGCTTACAAGACATTACTTACTTTACATACAGAGGTAACAACAAATAAAAGGAAAGCAAGCCAACACACGGTACTGTATCAAACCCATCAGATATAAACTATGAAACATTGAACTCTCTCATATGTTGATGGCATTTGCCGAAATGGACATTATAGCTTTCTCCATTACACTGCATCTTTTTCCTGGAATTTACATTGAGATGCTATCACGCAGATGATAACAATAGCTGTTCTTAGCCCTGGGAAGGTTTTGCTTTAAAATCCATAATAATATAATAATAATACAAAAAAGGTTTTTTTCTTCTACTATAAATGAAGCCCAATTTCTTGATTAGATTAGCGACCAGCTTGCTAACTAGCAAAATGCAATTGTGTAAATAAGAGTTTTGGAGGTGTTTCTGTCTTTAGTCACCACTACATAAGTATATGGAAACCTAAATCAGTGGTGGTCACTTCATTTCAATTTATTTTCCAAATGCAGACACATTAGACTGACCACAAGCCAAAGAAACGACTCAGCAAACCATTCAAAATTAATGTTTTGAGAGGACTTGTGGGATCGAAACATTTTCCACATTGGTGCACATCACACTTTAAAATCATATTGCTGAGAGGCTTACATCTTTAAAAAAAGTTAGTTACAATGAATAAGCGACCAGAGCGTTCAAGGACTTTGGCAGTTGAGATGGATACACCATGTAACTGTTAACAACCTCATCCCGGCTGGCTTTCCCCCTTCCCGTCGCATTCTCCAACACAACCTCAACGTAACCTCGCCATAGCAGGTTGCAGTAACTACCTTTGAATGTTACCAAGACACGGGTGTATCGTCATGCGCAATAAAGTGTCTGGCCCCACCCTGACATCCCTCTTTGATTTCCAGCCAGAGAAGTCATGGGAGGTCGACCTGCAACACATGGAGAGCATGATTGACGAGAGGACGTCCTGTCTGATTGTTACCAATCCGTCCAACCCGTGTGGCTCCGTCTTCAGCAAGGAACACCTGCAGAAAATCCTCAAAGGTTAGTTCTGCCCCGCTCTGCTTTGGTAGGAATAGGCAAGTTCGAAATCTTGAAAAAGTTTGAATTGGCAGCCCAGTCAGGGGACGGAAATTTGGACTAAGACGGCATTTGCCTCATCTTAGTAAAACAATAGAATTTTTCTTTTTTTCTGTTTTCAGTGGCCTCCAGACACTGCGTCCCCATTCTGGCCGATGAAATCTACAGCGATATGGTGAGTGCAACCACACAAACAGGGCTTGGCCCTCTGTTACACCAGCGAGGCACATTTTTCGCCACAGTGACAGTGCAGGTTATGTTTCATTTGGTGGTATTTGCCCTGGCTCTGGGTGGTGGGTGGACAACCCCACATCAGCATAGGGGGGATTAGGGGCCATGTGCTGTGAATGAGGCGTGGAAGCAGCGACCAGCGAGGTGGGTACGCTGGATGAGCAGGGGGCATGGAGGTCAGCAAGGGCAAGCAGTGGGGGTGGGCAAGGGGCATAGCATTTTAGCCTCAGGCTGTGTGTATGAACATGTTCCACATTGCCGTAGCGTTCTAACAGCCCTGTCTCCTAAAAAGTATGTTCTATACAACGAAACTGCAATGTGAATTACGTTTTGAAGGAAATGTATTTTGTCGTGGATTACGTTTTGCTTTGAAGTTTCTTGATTGAAAAGAGTCTGTGGACATCTGGTGTAGTGATGAGGATCGTTGTCCAGGAGACTGCTGTTTGTGTCCCGTGTGATCCGAGAACTTTAGTTGCCTAAACCCATCCAAGTGCCTTCATTGCGTTTTTCTATTGTTTTCTTTCAACTTTGTGGTCATCTTTAGCCGAACCAAGATGTTTTTTACTAAATCAAGTAGTTTTGTATCATTTTTGTTGTTTTCTTTCAATTTGACAATGTTAACCACACGTTTCAATGTGTTAAAAAATGTCAATCGTTAATCCGGAGAGAAATTAATTTTCTCTTGAAACGTAATTGAGAGTGCAAATTGAAAGTAAAAAAAGGACTTTCACCTAGGACACTGCTGTTCATGTCCAGTGAAACCAAAATAATTATTTATGTTTTTGTTTTGTTTCAACTTCATAGTCATTTTAAGCCGAAACATGATTTTTTTACTAAACCTAACCAAGTAGTTTTGTGGCATTTTTGTTTTGTTTCTTTCAATTTACAACTTTTACCACGTGTTTAAACTGTTTAATACCGTGGAGAATACAGTACATGTTTCCTTTTAAACGTAATTGAGAGTGCAGTTTAGTTGTATGGGGACGTAATTTTGTAGGAGACATCAAACCACAGCATATTCCTGAAATGGCATACATTACCTTAAATGGTATCTTACAACTGAGTATTTTATCTTCATAATACCTTAATAAGACTCCTTTTTTGTAAAATTAGAACTTTGTTCTCAAATTAGTACAACGTTATCTTCAAAATATTATGACTTTCTTCCCTCAAAATATTTTGACTATACTGTATTCAAATTTTTTTTCCTTTAAATTAGTTTTCCTTTAGTTTCAGTTTCCGCGTTTAGTGCCACAGCGTGTTCATATCCAGAATAACACACCTCATTTGTCGCTAAAAGTTGCTGGATTGATGGATGGTTGTCATACTATTAGTTGAAATTGGTTGGTACTAGCTTACGTAAGCACACGTCATATTTTCTTCAACAGGAAGAGACGATAATTGAATTTTGATATAATAATCTTAAAATTTTATATTTTTGTTTCAAAAATTAAAAAGAAATTGTGATCATAAACGGTTAAAAAGACATTGACCAAATTTAAATGTTTCCAAGAAAACAACACTGCCAGCACATTCAGTCCAAAGCGTTGGCATCAATGTCGGCCTTGACAAGCCTTTACCGGTCAAACTTTTGTTGGAGGTCATGCAAACATGTACACAGATATCCACATGCACATAGACTCCTGAATACACACACACACACACACACACACACACACACACACACACACACACACACACACACACGCGCACACAGGCTGAATATTGTTGCTCAATACAAAAATGGAGATAAGGTAGTTTAATTGTTTACCAGTAGTTTTCCACCTTGGTAACATTCTGATATGGTGATAAATACAAATCCATGGGGGATGTCTAACAGGAACACACACTTTTTCTTCTTCTATACTTTCTCAATCCACAGCCGGTTCTGGCAACATGTGGCTACCAAAAAATGGCAGCCACATGTTGGCTGTTCAAGAACACATGTGGTGTGAATTAATGCATGGCCATCTTGCCTCAATAAAAATAGCGTACCAGAGATTTGTGTCCATTACCAAGGCAGCTTCTTCTTTTACAAATTGTGCTATAGCTAAATTTTTTTTTTTAATTTTCACTTATTTTTTATTACCAGCATCATTACATTATTAGTGTCAATGTGTGTTGAATTGCTTGCTAGAAGCTAGCTAACTTTGTTAAACTAGCCAGCTAGGTAGCTTTGATATGTTATGTTAATGTAACACTAAGCAATTAGTTAGCTTAGTTTCCCTACCCGTTCCTTAAAGTCACAAATTATGGTAAAATGATTAAAGACTGAGATAGAGTGAGTTAAATCGCAGGTAGAACCGAATGCAAAGCCACGATACATCCATGATAGCCACTGATTTGACTGACACCAACGGGACAATTGCCGGCCTGTTCATACATAAACCAATGAATTACTTCGGCGTTCCTGTAGAGCATGCAGGAACATTTCTAGTAGGTTTCTGATCTAGGAAATCAAATTATATAGAAAATTATGGAGGCGGTGGCGGCAACCGCTGACTATCTGAAAGCACCTTCAGAACCAGCAGTTTATCATAAACTGCATGGTGGCCTTTTGTATTTCACAAAAAGTAAAAAGTCCTGTGAGTTTTTCTTATGCTCAGCCAGGCCATTACATAACGTTTGCTTCTCTGTTGTTTCTTCTGATGGAAAATACTTTCATATTATATCCTGAATTTTGAACCTGTGCTTTTTAAATGTGCCGTCGGGGCTAGTGAGAATGGAAAAGTTTGGAGTCGGGGTTGTTGGGTTCATCCACAAACCCTCCCCGTCCGACCGTTTAACACTGAACCCAAGCAGACCAGAATGACTTTGCAATTTTGTGGCCACATGTGTTTCCAATCAATGCAGTTGACGGGTTTTGCCACAGAAAGAGCTTGCACGGAATGGAAGCCGTGTGGTAGATGGAGAGCTGGATAGGTGGCGGTGGGTGGTTGGAAAGTTTGAATAGGGGGAGTGTTTTGCGGGCCAGGGGTCTGAGAACTGCACCAGCAAAGCAAGACTCAGTCAGTCCCTCTGTTTCTTGAATGAGTAAATTATGTGCTTACAACGTATGTCTGCACAGTCTAGGTACTCTCTGTGCCTGTAAAGTCAGTCAGTATTATCATAATCATTAATTAATTAGTACTTAACCAATGGCCAGTGCTGATATAGTTGTAATCCTACTAGAAGGAGGGGGGGGGGGGGGCACAAACTGCTTTAAATTGGAGAGCTAGGCAGGCACGTGTCTGATGTTGCTGTTATGTCATTCACAGTAGTCTGGCCAATAGGATGCGGGGCAGTTCCCAGCTCAGAGTCAAAGATGTTTGGCTTTAAAGAGAACCAGCTTTCTTTGGTTCCTGTACATTCCCTTTCCCTTAAAGCCTCTCTCTCTCCTACTATGCTTCAAAATTGTTCATGGGTTTAGGAGTAGGGAGTAGGAAGCTTAGCTTCTGAAGAGGTTTAAGACATGATATTTGTGTTATACATAAATAAACGATTGTTCCCGACGCTCAAGTAGGTCATTTGTAGCTTTAAATACTTTTATTAACAATAAATGTGTAATGTGAAAAGGGCCAATATTGTGACAAATCAAAGCCTCGATTTTATGCATTGTTTTGTTTTAGCATCTTTCAGTTCAGTGAAATGGTTTTGGTCTGTAACTTTATTGCTGTGGTTCACTCTCACCACTCCGAACAACCTGATTTCCGGCTGCAGCAGGTGGTAGCAGCAGACAAACACATTTAACCACTAGCTTGTGGGCATAGTGTAGCATTTAGCTGCTAAAGAGCCAGATATTGTTCTCAGGAGATGGTGGAATCCAAAAAAAGAAATAACATGGAGAACACTGGTCTTACGTTCGCTAAGCAGAAAATATTCAAGTGTTTGTTGAAGCCAGGATTGGTAATGTTGAGAAACTAGCAAGAGTACGCTAGATTTTTAAAATAATCTAACCGAAAAACCTCCACCCAGTGTTGCTAACTATTTTCCAATGAAAGTTGCTAGATTTTGACAACACTGACATCCTGTTCCTTCAGGCCTCCCTCAAAAGCCCCCCCAAATAATCATAATGAATGTAAACAAGTCATGGCTATTGTTAGTACTCACAGCTGTTAAGCTAGCAGCTCTGGTTTATTTCAGAACAAATGAAATGACTGGACAGGCTAATTACAGTCCTGTTAATTACAGTCCTTTCTTTTTTGCGTCAGAGCATTTGATTCATTGCTCGTCGTTGGGATGTAATGACAATTTCAACAAATATAACAAAAGTGTTTTCGAAGAAGATTACCTACCATAGCTTCAACACGTTTGCCATATCTGTAGAGCTTGTTCGGCTTTAACCACTTGAATGCCAAGCTTCTAACACCGTACCGTACTTGGCTTTCCATGTCAACAATATGGCCTCCTTTTGAAGGCAGAATGACCCGTGAGCATGGATGATTTTTGCCATCTGCTCTATTCTATCTTGTTCCTGCTCCTGTCCTCAGGTTTTCCCAGGCTGCATTTCTCCCTCCATGGCGTCTCTCAGCAGTGACGTTCCCATCCTTTCCTGCAGCGGCTTGGCTAAGCGCTGGCTGGTCCCCGGTTGGAGGATGGGATGGATCCTCATCCATGACAGGGATAATATATTTGGATCCAAGGTTCGTGTAGCTTTATTTGTGCATTCGTCTTTGAGCAGAGAGACAACAAGAAGCCTCCAATAGATAACAGTTACATTCACCTAATGCAGTATGTCTCCACTGCAGATTCGACAGGGTCTGGTGAAACTGAGCCAACGTATTCTGGGAGCCTGCAGTATCATCCAGGGTGCCCTGGAGAGCATCCTCAACAACACACCTCAAAGCTTCTACAACAACACCATCAGCTTTCTGAAGGTGATGGGGTTGATGAGTAATATCTTTCTATATACAATAAATCATCATCTTATCATCTCTATATGTTACTCCAACAAAAATGCAACCTCAGTGATACTCTGGACGCACGAGTCTGTCGGCAGACCCTTACCTGGATAGTGCTGTATATCCTCTGACAGCCAACGTCATGATTACGTCACCGTGTTTGCTTGAGGTAAACGAATAAAAAACTGGAGTCCAACACAAATAACCTCAGAGCAGTGGGCTAAAGTTACACATTGTAAATGTCATCTTGCTGTGTTATTGGGTGCCAGAATCGATACTGCATCCATTTAAGATGATAAAATGTGATTCTAAGCTCTAGCGAGCTACATTATGGCCAAAGCGTTTCAGACACGGAGAGAAAATGTTACTAAAAGTTTAGCTATATCTGATTTATTGGAGAGATAGAGAGATGGCCCGCTTTTGGTGTTCAGCTGGGTCTACAGTTCCTCTACCTCGCTCCTTGCTGCTAGGAGACCACTTCGCCAAGAGAGGAGCAGGTAAGAGCTCTGGAGACTAGCTAGCCAGCTCTGGCGATAGACAAACAGTAGCTAACTAGCCAGCCGTCCTCTCCGGAGCTTCCGTCAATTCTTCCCCCGATAAAGCAGTCTGCCAATGGACGCGGGTTCAGCTAATATGGTTTCATTGGTTTATGTTATCGTTCTCAAGTAACACTTGTGGTTTATAAAACAACAAGCCAACAAAACTTGCTAGCAACCATTAACAAACGTATTCAGATAATTATTCTGCCTCCACCTACACTCCGCTCTCAACAACACGTCATCACGTCTATTTGTGCAAAGCAGCGATTACTCCATGTTGCCATGCTTAATGTGGTATCTTTAATGACAATTTCTTTTTTTAATATAACATATTTTCACATAATGTGTATATTGTGCAGCATATATATAAGATTAGAATCGCAACTCATACTCATATTCATAATCCCTGTAAATGTGACCAAAATGATTCTTGTCTTCTGTTGTCTTCAAATATGTTGAAACATATTTTAATTGTTCTATTTTTTCCGATTTACAGTAATGTGTTTCACACTAGTCTGATTGGATGGTTTATTTTTTTCTTCCTCAGACCAACTCTGAGATCTGTTTCAGTGAGCTGAGCACCGTCCCTGGGCTGAACCCCATCATGCCTTCAGGAGCCATGTACCTCATGGTAAGTACTAGAAGTGTGTTTGATTTATCTTATTCATGTGTGTTTATTTATATTTTTAACAAAAATAATCTGAAGAAGCGGTAGCCACATCTCAAAATTGAAAGCTATGTTTATAAATAAGTGGAAAAAAATGAATTGAATTGAATCGGTATGCCATTTTGAGGAAGTTGCTGAAAATCATTTTTTACCTTTTTATGTTGCTGATGGAGGTATTGTACAATAATATGATGCTGTAGTTAAGGGGGAAAAAACTATTTAAATACACCAGATGAACCAAACTTAAAGGTCACATATCATGCTCATTTCAAGGTTCTTGTATGTTGGGTTTCTGTTAGAATATGTTTACATGTTTTCATGTTCAAAAAACTCTTTATTTGTCTCTGAAACGCTCCGTTTTTGCGTGTTTCAATGGTATTACATCGCTAGGCAATAGCTTGGGTCTGTGTTTACTTCCTAAAAGCGGAAATAAACTGGGACACATTGAGAATGTTTACACTTAAAAACTGTGAAATGGTTTATATATTGTATAGTTGTGACCTCACCACCGTATGAAAATCCTGATGGCTCATCTAAAGACATATTTTTGAATAAGGTCTATGTTTATTTCTACATGGATTGAGCGTTTTCATACTTTCACACTATTTACATAGCACCTAGACCTGCTTTAATAAAAATTCATAAAATTCATAAAATTCATTTTTACAATATGGGACTTTTAATGGGCAGTGTAACATGTATAATATAAATATTCCACATTCATTCATTTGTCCTACCACATGCATGTGAATCATCATTCTACGGTATTGTATTACATTTAAGGCGGTTTGAATATGAATCAGAGGTTAATGTGTGTTCACATTTGTCCAGGTGGGGATTGACATGAATCACTTTCCAGATTTTAAGGACGATGTGGACTTTACTCAACAGCTGGTGACAGAGCAGTCGGTCTTCTGTCTGCCTGCCTCAGTAAGACACCTTTTTCCGTCATTTATCCATAAAGACGGATAAATGATTTATTCTAAACTCACATTTAGAATAAAGATGTGTGACCCTGTTAATGCCCGAGACTGTCCATTTTCTGCCTTCTCCCAGGCGTTTGAGTACCCTAACTTCTTTCGCATCGTGGTGACGGTGCCGGAGGAGATGATGGTGGAGGCCTGCGGTCGGATCAGGGAGTTTTGCAAGAGCCACCATCGGCCCCACAGCCGCGACAGCAACGATCTGGACCAGTGATAAGTCAGAGCTGGACCAGTCCGACGACATTTCGCCTCGCGGAGACCAAAGCCTAGAGGACAGAAGAATTGTCCACTAGTCACATAAGAGCTGGAATCAGCTTTCAACTTGTCTTCCACTGTTGTTAGGAAGTTAGAGATGTAGAGGTCGGACGTCAAAACTTTGCTAGTATCGTCACCACTATGGCAACTAAAAAGCTTGGGAGAGACACATTTGATTGTCCACCAATGGTGTCATTTTCTATGTAAACCGTATGCAATGAGCAGACCTAATATTTATATTTTATACAGGCAGCGTATATGACTTGTTCTTGTGTATTTATATAATTTGTGTAATGCTTTGTATGTCATTGTGATGTAACCTCTTTGATATAAACTGCAGGATTGTAGACTGTGCGTACCGTTCACGTGGCTTCTTTGCTGTCCCAATTATGGGAAGTGAATATATATTTTAATATCCATTTTTGTAAACGATACGCATGGAAAGAGAAAGCAACTTCCGACTACATTGGCATGCTCTTTATCAGAACAGTCTTTGTATGTTGTTTGTATGTGATATATGTATATATACATATATATATATATGTATATATATCAAAAAATTGTATTTAGTACTTTCTTTATAGCTAATAAAAACATGTTGACATGACTGGTAAGAACAAAGCATTCTGCATATCCATAAAAAGACCGTATGGTGTACAATAGCATAATTAAAATCTTATTTTCATGGAATCACAAATTAGCTTCAGACGGCCTCACAATCTGTGCAACGCAATCCATAGGCTGTTCTATTCTTATGTAACTTCCTGTATGACTGCGACTACAAAGATGTACAGTACACACATAGAGAAATCCATGTGTGTACTGTATTTTACAGACCTGGACATCATCCATAACTTCTCCGGTTGATAAAGCGACTTTTAACTTGGCAGCATTTCTCTATCGTGAGGTTGTGAAATTTCGCTTAAACCATTAAAAGTCTCTATAAAACCTTTTACTGTACAATGTTCAAGCCGGGGGGAAAAAATCTAATACATGTCTGGTGCACGTAAAATAAATGGTATAATAATTTAGCATTAGCAACGTCAATCTGTCCATCACTTTTTGTCTGGACTGAAATGTCTTAACCTTGGGATGTATTGCCATGAAATCTTGACATTCATGGAGGACTTTTGGTGCTCCCTTGACCTTTCCTCTAGCGCCACCATGAGGTCGACATTCGTGGTTTTAAGCGTAAAAAGTCTTGACAAATGTTGGATGCATCCCCCTCACGATCAATTGTAACAACTCTGGTGATCCTCTAACTTTTGATCAAGTGGCATCAGCAGGCAAACATTTTTGGTAATTGACCAAATACACGCAAAACCAATGACATTACCGTCAGTCTCAGCCGTACTTTGTGTTAAGTGGTAATTATAAGACGTTGCCGCACAAACCTGCTTAGTAAACACGGTAAACATTGCAGCTGCTAAACAACAGCATATTAGCTTTGTCTCTGTGAGCTTGTTAATGTTAGCATGTAACTCTATGTACTGTATCCTCAAAGTGGCAGTATGTTTGTCTTGTTCGTTGATAACTGGAACAGGGCCCCTCTGCATGACAGATAATCAGGAGGATGGGTAATAATGTAGGACGCCCTTATCGAACATATTTTCAATAATCACATCACCACAAACCAAATGGCACACTATTTATTGAGGCGTTCAGGGCCCATGGGGCAGTTGTTTTTTTCTTCAAATTAAAAGCATTAAAAGGGAGAAGTTTTGAGATTAAACATTATAATTTATACTTATGCTATAATAATTAACATAAAAGGAATCACAATGCTAGTGAGCAACCTCCCTTTAAATACCTAGAAGTCCTTTAAGGCCACCATAAAATAACAACTGAAAAATGAAATGTTGTTCCAGTATAGACCCACACACCATACAAAACCTGGATAAAGTTCTTTTTTAACATTATTGTGTATCCCTATGTCTAATATGGCTTATTATATTTGAAGATTGGGAGACTTTTATTGTTGAAATTATAAAATCTTTCTCTTACAAATCGACAGCATTTGTAGGTTAGGCGCACGGTGCAGTTCAAGATCGCCATCTAATGTTGAACTGGAAAGATTACAGCAGATTTCTCTATTTACAGTGCGACCTGGCCTTTCTGTGTGTTTATGTGTGTGCGTGTGTGTTTATGTGTGTGTGTGTGTGTGTGTGTGTGCACTGCTACCCCTATTAGAAGAGTGACCTTTGCAACATGCTCCTCCCTCCTCCCTTAAAGACATGGTGGTGAAGTTGTGTGTTGTCCAATAATTAACCACTGGACTGATAAAGCAGCAATAGGAGAGAGAAAGAGAAAGAGAAGGAAAGACACAGGTCAGATAGACAAGTAAAATCAGCAAAGAAAGAGGAAGGACGTTGACTCAGCAGTTGCAGTTTCAGGGGAAAAAGAGGAAGAGGACAGCCCCAACAGTGTACGAGTGCATGTGTGCACCGAGTGTGTGCCGAGTTTCTCGTTTTGTTGCTTTTTGCTGCTGCCTGCTCCATGGAGGACTCACAGGTGGCCAGGTCGATAGAGTTGAACGATGGCACACGGATGCCAGTTTTGGGTCTTGGGACATGGAAGGTACTCTAAACCCTCTTTCCTATATCTTTTATTCTCAATTTTGGGCTTTTTTGCATACTATTTGACTCTTTATTTATGTGTTGCAAATGCATGTATTTTAGGTATAGGAGTATTTACCGAAAGAAGTCTGCCAAGAGAGGCAATTGAAAATACCGGCTTCTGATAGGCAGATTATTTGCCCGCCTCAAGGTCAAATGGCAAGCTCCCTCATTGGCTGCCTACACATCCCAACCATTGATGTATAAAGAGAACTGGACGTTGGGAGGTGGCGCCCCATTCAGAAAGTTGCTCAGTGGCACATGAAGCAAAAAAGTTTGACTTCCACATAAAGAATTTATTCCTTTTTTTAATTGAAAAAAGGGTTACAGACATCTCTGCCCCAATGTAAGTATCTGGGGAAAGTCTTTTGGGCCCAATGGCATCATGTGACGGACTTGGAAATTCACGAGTTAGCACTTTAAACATTTACCACCATCAACATGTCTGGTTGTTGCATGTTCGATTGTCAGTATCGATAACAGCGGAGTCAAGTTCTGCAGAATTCTACATAACGGAACAGGTGTTTCAGGTTAACCAGTGACCGTGTTAACTTTTGACTTTAAGTCGAAAGCCGAAAGTATCCGTGGTTGCTCGTAGTAACTCAGGTAATTGATTAACCGTGTTGACTACCACTGGATTGTTTGTAGCGTCCATTTTAAAAGAGAATAAAGTTAATATTTATGTTCCTACGTAGCTTGACAAAGCTATTGCACTTCACCGTACTTCTGCATGTGCACACTTGCTTACAGCTGTTCACAAACTATAAAAGGGTCTACAGTATGACATTTAGGGAAATTAGCTTATTTTGCTGTCTTGCCAAGAGTAACATAAGATTATTAATACTCTCAAATGTTATATGAGTGGTAGCGATAATCTTATCCCAGCAAGAAAGTGAGTATATAACTGTTTCTAAACTTTAATATGGCAGATAGTGGTGAAGGTGGGCCTATTTTATAATTCTTTTTGCTTCTTGCAGTCCTCTCATCTCCCCCGCACCTCGGTCCAGGGTGCGGTGGAGGCTGCCATTGCGGCTGGCTATCGCCACATAGACACCGCTCACAACTACAAAAATGAGGTTGATATCGGCAAGGCTCTGCGCTCCAAGATACAGCAAGGCGTCATCAGGCGCCAGGACATGTTCATCGTCAGCAAGGTGGGTGGTGCAACAAGTGTTGCAGCAATGCCGGTGAGCAACATGAGGAGGGGGAATTATGCAGTATTTGTTTACACAACTTATGTATATATATATATATATATATATATATATATATATATATATATATATAT